AAAAAAATGAGCATTTATCGGCCGATACCGATATGGTGGCCGATATATCGTGCACCCCTAATGCTGACTTTAATAATGCTTTGTCACCTTGTTACGCCAAGTGTACCAAGAACTGTTTTAATAGATAAAACAGAACAGAATAGACTAGTTTTTGTAGTTTTTGGTTTCATTGTCTGTTTATTATTGCAGAAGGATACCACTTAAGGCCACAAGAGAGATGTATTATTACTCTCTTTCCAAACCTAAAAGATCCTGAAGGGAAGACAGGCTATGTAAGTATCTCTGCTTGTTGTTCAAGATGATTGAAACTTTAAATCTTAGCTTTTTTAATGTATTTGTTTTTCCCAAATTTGTCTCTTTAACAGGAACAATACTATGATGCACAGAGAGGCACAGGTTTTATTATGAATCGCCTAAAGACAGAGAAACACTAGTTGTAAAATGCCCTCTCGATCAAATGAGAAAACTTGTGGTCCTAGAATGGAGGAAAAAATCTGCCTTACAGATCAGCTAACAGGCGATGATTGCCAGGAAGCGATCTCACTCCTTAAACACAGCACTGATCGTGATCTCATCTTCTGGAAGATGAAAGAAACTTTTCAGTACCGTCAAGAGATTGTAAAGGACCCGAAGAAGTCCACATCCATCTTTCACATTTTTCCTTGATTCCTGGACACCAAGGGTCTGGTGAGTTAATGCTTGCTGACTTAACAACCCAAAGTATTAGATTTTAACTTCTCTGCTGCAACCTTCACCTAATGTGGACTGTCCCTTTTGGCTTTTGCAGATCATCAACATTGTGTTCTCACCGTCAGTCACAGAGGGTATGACTGTGTTTTTGAAACACCTCGTTAAAGACCATCATCAGCTGTTTAAGGAGCTGTACCCATCCAAAAACTTAATACCTAAACATCATTTTATGTTACACTATCCTCGCTGTATTCGGAGAATTGGTCCGTTGTTGCATGTTTGGTCAATGAGGTTCGAGGCCAAACATAAGTTCTTTTAGAACTGCATAAAGAACTTTAAGAATTTGACTGTGTCTTTGGCAAAAAAACACCAATTTGCTGTGGCCTATCACTGGGAATGTATGAATTACAATTCTCTGGAATCTGGACCAGCGAAGGTACATAAACTTCTGTGTTTGGATCATTTTGAGGAGATTTCTGAACAACTTTGCATTGATTCTCAAACTGAAATTCAACATACAAAGTGGGTAAAATGCTCTGGAGCAGAGTACAGAGTTGGCCTTTTCGTGTGTTTTGATATTGTTGACGAAATGCCCGTTTTCAGCAAAATACTAAATATATTATTGCTCAGAGAGCAAGTTTTCTTGTTGTTAAAAGACTACGAGTCAACGTTTATTGAACATGTCCATGCCTACAGATTATTTGACAAAGCACCTCAACATGCATGTATAGTGAACAAGGACAACTTAAGGAATGTTTCTTTGTTTGATGCACAGATGTCCTATGGTGCTGACTCATTTTTCTACATAGTTGCAAAAAATGAACTTGTTTGAAACTCAGTAGAAATTTATAAAGAAATGTTTATCATAATGAATGTGTATTTTCATACCAAACAGTGTTAAGATGCATTGGAGACTACCAGAGCTTTTTTGTATGTTTGTATGTTTGATATATTAAAAAAATTTCAATAAATGTTGAAATAAATTCATAGTCACTTGGTTTTTGAAAAAGGTTTATGTCTGCATTACCATTTTAAAATAATATTTACAAAATTCACATTAAATCAACATTAAATAAATACACTGGGTGTGTGGGATTAATCACCATAGAGTGTTAAATGTGTACACTTGCGAGTAATAATTTCTCAACACCTAGAGTGATTAAAATGAAACACTAACTCAGTGTTTGTATAATAAACACTTTTGTCAGTGTTGTTTTAACACTAGCAAAGATGGACCTGTATGTTCACCCGAAAAGTGATAATTTTAACACCCATGGTGACAAATCTCCCAACATATTTTTGCTGTGCAGTATCTTCCTTTTTGGGTGAATATCCTTTTAAAATCTCATCGTATAGGCTAAGGATCTCATATAGCCTAACACATGCTTTATCTTTAACTATTAGGCTAACATTCATTTAAGACACAAATAACTGTGTTTACGAGGATACTCGCAAAGACGGGCATTTTGACACGTAACTATGTGTATTTGACCGTTTAAGCACAGGGAGCGAAAGTTTAGTCAGTAATACGAGCAGGTGTATCAGGTAGAAACCGTTTTAACGCACGCATTTACCAGAATTAATTCTACCCCGCAGCGTAATGTTCATGAACAGTATAAAGCATTTGTTTTAAAACCTGCTTAAAACGTCTTGAAATGATAAGCTTACATCATGACACGCTTCAATCAATGATTGATATATTTCTACCGGATTATCTCCCAACCCTTAAATGAATATAGTTTGTTCAAACACAAAAACAATATAAATCCAGTTAATAATCAAACTAACCTAAAATCTGTGTGGACGATGACACTGTTTTTATCTGCTCCGTGTGCCCAGTTCACTTGCTGTTCCAGTAACTTCCACTCCATCATCAGCTTTAGTAAAATAACCTGATAGCTGGGGAATTTACAAAGTCATGTTTTTTCTGTTGTTTGTATTTGAAGTTTTTCGTTTTTTGAGCCCCTCTCTCTTTTAGAATTGCTGACATTTTTACTTATTGAATGTTGTTCTTTGCGCGACCATTTCCAGATTACTCCAGAACAAACTGAAGAGAGGTGAATGCAGACATACTGGGCAGCAATCACCTGATAGATACGTGCACATATCGTTCAAAAGTAAAATTTAGAATAAATGCATTTGATTGGTAAACCAAATTCAGACTTTATGTTTCAATCTCAAATGGTAATGCTTGGAATTTACAGAAAAGATCAACTAAATAACAGCACTAATAAGTGGGGGGCGTGGTGGCTTTGGCGATCGGCGCTCCAGTCAATCTACTCCACAGCCCCCTCCTTGCTCGGGCCCCGGGGCTTCAGCCCCGCCTAGCCCAATGGTTAAAACAGCCCTGGTCTTAGGAGAGCCCCAAAACTTTGTGGTGCCAGAAGGGATAAAGACTGCTAAACTGTTCAGATCTCAGTTTCAGTTTCATATGAATGTGTCTGTTCTTTTTCATTGGTTTTCACTGAGACAAAACATCAGATAAGAGCTCAAAGCATGCACATTTCCTGTTTGAAATCTATTTGCCAGACTATGGTCACACTCCACAGGAAACATTGTAGTGATCATTCCTTTATCCTTTTCTGGTACGTCTCACTTCTGTGCGCCTGAACCTTTGCAATTTGCATTCATAAACATGATGGTTATTTTTGTCAGTGGTGTGGCCTGTATTTTTCATCAAAACAGTAAATAGATAACGCCATTATATAATTAATATAAGCTATGTTTTACAACATCAAATTGGATGGTAAGCCATTAATCTAAAAAATGATAAATAAATGTTAGAAAAGGTACAGTTAATGGCACACAGAGTTTTTCACTCATTAGAAAAGTTTTACACATAAATTATTGAATAGTGCTTTTGAAAAATGTATTTAAAATAAAATAAACTCACATGCACTGAAGACTACAATCCTGTCAGCTTAATAAAAGCTGTTTTATTCTACATGGAACATGTTGCCTTGCGGAGGCGGCCATATTAAGATCACATGACCGGTCGCATACACATTTGTTTTCTCATTTACCTCCTATTTGTATAGGAACATTTTACTCTTAGATTAAAGCGTATTTATACCACGGGGATGTTAAATGCTTTATTCTGATTGGCTGAACATTCTAAGGTGTGCAATAATTTTTCATAAATGCACAGCTATGAAGTAGTTCCAGGTCTGTCGACTGCATTAAAGTTCCATATCGCTATGCCAAATTATTTCAGTTATTTCAAAGGTCCTTACAGCCTACAACAGCAAAAGAACCAAAATAAGGCACTGACCAAACAAACAAGTATGACCAACAATATAGGATAAAGAAGACAATTTCCATGTTTCCCAACTAATTTACCTTTCATTGTCCATGCAAAATACGCTTGCTTTCTCCGTAATGCTCACTCTCTCTGCATGCACACACATAAAGTACATCCACACTTTTTGGTAATATAGTTTGCAACTGCTAAAAAGTGAATTGACATTGCTCAGTATGGAGGTGGTAACATCACTCTTCATGAAGCAGACAAACTTACAGTTTCGCTATTAGTAGAGACACTGTTGTGAAATGCATTAGTCTGCATATCAGTGGCTCAGGCCTCCGTTGTTAGCTCTAAAATGGTGTTTTGGAATTAGGCTTGGGATGAGACGCATAAGGTATTAGTCCTAAACACAGGACAAAAACCTGTCAAATGTCTTGAGTGGTTGTAACCGTGGTATAAGCTGAATAATTGACTCCAATCCTTTTAATTATTGAAAAATAATGCGCACTCCACTTCACGTGTGACTGCATTTCCACCTCGGATGTGCATTTTTTTTTCAATAATTTTCAATAATTCAGCGTCATCAATTATTCCTTACTTATACAATGGCAACATCCAGTGTAAGTCCAAGACAACTGCCGTATTGGCCAGCATAACATAAACAAAAACTTACTGTACGCACCAAACTTCTAAAATATTAGCTACACCATTTAAATGTACAAGTCTGTACAGGACACTAAACTGAAAGCAATAGTAGTTGCCAGAGAAAATTGCCAGCTTTCACTCAGGGATTCAATGAATATATTTTGAATAAATGCAGCTCCAAAACAAAACAAAAAAACAAACAGAAGTTCTGAAAGCCCAGTAATAAATATTTATTACCGCTCTGATTCTTAAGTATGTTTGTGTGACTGTTAACCTATAAAAGTGTACCGTCTACTAAGCGTGGATTCATCCTGCCTTTTCATCCCATTTATTTCACATCCTCGCATTATCTGCGACAGCTAAACAAGCAACCACAGGGAATTCTCACATTTTTCAGATTTGACTACCATTGTCTTAAACCAACTAAAGTCAATGCAGCTGGCACTGACAATCAGACATGACCATGAATTTCTATAGCTTATTATTGTGTGAAAACAAATTCATTACAACAAAAGTTCTGTACGATTTGATTAAAGCAGGCATGGATGCTCATAGGGTGTTCTGTCTCTGATAGAGGTTGAGGTTCATACACTGTCTGCACATGGACAACATCGGGAGATGTGGTTTTTAAATTTAAAAGTCATTATTTTGGGATTACAATTATACATATCTAGATTTTAAACAACAAAGAGCTCCTGTGTTATACATAAACAAAAACCTAAACAAACAAGCAAACAAATCTAATGGGATTAAATGGAAATATTGTAACAGACCTCCTTAACATTGTATTTTTCATCACTCTAGTCATTATGGGATTCATCTGCACTGTGTCACCATACCAAATAAAGTATGCATGCATTTTCATACGGCATGCTATCTTTAATGCTGCCAAAGGCACTAAAATATTCAGCTGGTTCAGTCTCGTTCACTGTCTATAGAAAGAACTCACTAATTTAACTAGAATAAAGAATAAAATCTTGCTTCACTAATAATTATTTGGATAATTAAAAATTAAACAGATATAACTTTATATAACATTAACAAACTGGGGCAATGCTTTTGATGTTATATTATACATTCTAGTGAAGCATATTTCTGCTTTCAAAGGGTACAGTTTTTGACCAATTTTATGAAACGATTCAATTGCCTCTCAGATCTCAGCCAACACCAAAGGAATATGTAATGCATTAGTCAATTAGCACAATGAGCCGGATTTTTTATTTTTGAGGAACCTCAAGAAAAAAAAGAAAAAAAAACAATGGTGTTTCGATCACATGTGCCCATTGAGGAAGGCTCTGAATGAACAAAATGTGAAGAAAAATATGTTCTGCACTTTCTTTTAACATGTTTTAAGATATAAACTGTATATTGCATGCATTGTATTGTTTACAACATAGATCATTTAAAAACGGGTCTTCTGAACACTCTTTCCATCATCCATTATTAGACTGTTTTGCCTGAAACTCAAAAAGCACAGACTAATTCAATATTGTTTAAGCTCAACACAGTAACAATTATTTTTCAATTATTGATCTGATTTTTCCCCACACTATTTCAGACTTTCTAATTCAAAATTTCAATGTGTTGCTTGTAATTTATTTGTAATTATTTGTGAAATTTACTAACAGTTTCTGAGTGAAAATCTCCTTTAAATACAGTATACATGTCAAAAGTGGAGTCACAGTTTATCATGACAGGCTTTTGTGCTTGTGCATAAACACTCCTGTAATTACAAATCCTCTCCCAGTTAATGACTTTATTCAGACTGCAAATATAAATTCTCTGTATTCTCTTGTGATTGAGCATTGTTCTGTTTCTGCTCTGTATCCTTTAGTAGTATGAAACTTCTCTGAAAACCAGGCAGTGGATTTAACATTTTGCTCCTTTTAAGTGCCACACTGGTTTATTACTAGAAGCTTCTGATAGATTGTTTTATTTGTGTACATAGACAGGAAAAGATCATTTCAGGAGACTGCGTGTAAGGGTGGAGTGCACATGAGAAGGAGCGTAGTTGCCCTGATCTCATCAGTGAGAAGCCCGTGATGACCACATCAGAGCAAAGCTGTCATGAGAGATGTTCCTCTCTTCTGATCAAAGATGTGAGGGGAAGTTTAGTAAAGCATACTTCACCCAACACGAACAGACCTGAGCGACCCTTTGAGAAAGGCAGCATCAGATTCATCATGATAGGTTTACATATCCAGAGCCTTTGGAGTAGATTATTTAGGTAATGGAAGGAAAATGTTGACCATTTCAAGCCAGGATGAGAGTATATTGACCCACGGTTCACTGTTTATATTAAAGTGTCTGATATGTGTACAAAAACATACATTTAGTGCTATAAAACATAGAAACCAAAACAAAAATGTAGAATGTAGTTGAAAGTATGCAACATGAATACAATTTTGTAGAGGATTGGTATTACTATGACTGTAAATGTCTAATTGTGTCTCAATGTCCTTTAGTACCAAACCAGCTCATCGTCACTCTGGCATTCTCTTGAACTTTGACATTTATGAAGAAAAGCAAGCAATTAAATGATCTTTATGGTTTTGTCCATCATGGGAATTTAATATCATGGAGTGGGTAGGGAAAGCATTTGAATTAAGTCTCTTATGTGAGGATGTCTTGGTGCAATAAAGACAACATTCCTCATCTAATACAATGCTAATATATATATATATATAAATTACATTGTGCATCACTGCCAGTTTTCTATTGTTTTAAAATCAATAGTAATTTTCAACTGATGATAAACAATCTCATTGCAGAAGACCGTATTTTGATACTGTTTCAAATTAAATTCAAATTCAAAATGATTACTGTTGTTCACTTCAGAACAAAAACGAATCGGCTAATATTTTCACAAGACATTGGAATATGTTTAAATTTAAACCGGTTTAACACAGACCTATACACAAACCGACCTATACTGCTGAGTTTTAATAGAGGGATGTTTGTTGCTGTCATCATTTAGTCAGTCTCATCTTGGTCCAAATATGTATAACTTTTTTTTTTCTTCCCACCATCCATTCTTTTGTGTCTCAATGATTGGGGAACTAAGTTTTAAAAGTTTAAAAATATGTATTTTTTTTAAATGCAAATGCACCATTCGCTGTAAATTTGAATAAGTTGGCAAAACTAAGATATATATATATATA